TCTTAATCGCTAAAAGAATAGTGGTAGTAGTAGCAGATAATAATTTTGATGCTGATGTATACTTTGGTTAGAAGATGAGGGGGGTTTATATAGGCATAATTTGATTAGGATGGATTTAATGGCTGCACTTGAAATGATAAATTTTTCTTGTGAATTTAACAGTCAAATGCATGACTGCATGGGGAGACTACTTTGACTACACTGATTTTTTAGCGTATGACATTCAATTCAAGTAATTTGTGCCCAGTTTTCAAGTTATTGGGGGTCATAACGAAACCTCAGAATTATGAACGCCATTTCCTTGTAGTTTTGTGTTCAAATTAAGGAACTTATATACTCCCTCTGTTCCATTTTGATAGTTCTAATTTTTTTTCACACCGTTTAAAAAAAAGTAGTTAACCCTTGCTATTTTTGATACTCTAATAATATGCCACTAAACACATAGTGCAAATCTCTTGTACCATACGTTTATTTATTTTAGTGGGAATGGTACAGAAGTAATGGAAGATTGTTTTCAACCATGCAATATTTACCTTCCTTGGAAAATTCTTGGCATAATTTCAGAAACCTCCCTTGAGTTTTTGACAATTTCACTTAGCTCCCCCGAGATTTCAATAATTACATCGACCTCCCTTGGTCCAATCAAATGACTAAAATGTCCTCCACTTAATAGTTAATTTACAAAGGGACATTTAAAACTGAAAAATATTTCTTATTATTCTACTTGCCATTTTCTAATCTCAAAAAACAATCTCCATCAATTTTCTAATTTTCGTCCCTTTCTCTCTCCCTCGCTTCCTCTATTATATTCTTCTCTCTTCTTCTCCTACAACTGCTTTTCACTCCCACCAAATATCGTGCGTCATTGTTACCAACCATACCACTATCAATTTTTTACCATCTACAAAATTTATCTGTATTTTTTGTTTTCCTGTCTCTTTCTTACTATAAAAATTTTAGACCCTTTATTTTTTTCCCTATTGTTTTACTCCTTACAAATGTTAGCCAATTGAAGTTACCAAATTAACAAGCTGCAGATTGTAGATTTAATTGTCAAACTAGGGGAAGATGAAAAATGTAGCAGTGATATAGGAAAAAAAATGAAATTGAGAGTTGGAACATAAAAAGATGACTATTATATTTGTTAATCAAAAAAAGTCTAACAATTACTCATTGGTTCTCTCTTTTATTTACTTATTGATTGTGATTTTACTATAAAGGTAGAATTTTGTCTCTATTTTCTAAGAGTGTTAGAGCAACGATGAATTATATATTTAGGGACATGGGGTCATTTCTTAGTTTAATATTGGTAGTGGTGGTGGTGAGTTGCATTAGGCAAAAATTAGCAAGTAATGAATTTTGAGATGAGTTGGAGTCGCTGGACTTTGTTTGTTTTAGTAAGTATGTGTTGTACAAGAAATTAAAGATTAAAACATTGTTTTATTTCGTCTTATTCTCTGAAGAAGGGTATTTTAAGATAGTTGAAAAAAATTATAAACTATTGAGTCTATATTGTTACATAAACCTTAAAAGCAAGGGAGGTATGTGTAATTTTTAAAAATTGAGGGGAGCTCTTCGTAATTGCTAGAAATCTCAAGGGAGGTTACTGGAGGGTTGAAAAGCCTGAGCCTGTAGCATGTGTTGCTGGGAAAGCTATGAAGATCTGATGAAAAATTACAAAGTATTGGCACTATGTTAGAACTCTTGGTGGATTTTTGGTTTATTTTTCCAGTTTATGGACTTGGATTTTACTATTAAGATAGTTTCAAGTGTTAATTTTTTTACAATAATAAAACTAATTCAGGAAAATATTAAAATACAGAGGATAACAAAAGTGAGTGTATGCATACATATGTCAAGTTAGATGCGATTTAGGTTTCTTAACATTATAAATCCTACTAAATTTTGCATATTTCTCTGTTTTTTTTTTAAAGATAAGTTATGCACTTTTGCTATGTTTAGAATATTCTAATTCTTTCCTTCCTAATTTTTTCCCTACATATGTACATATAATTAAATCTTCACAGCTTGACTTCTCTAGTAAAACAATATTAATTTTTCCAAATTTGAGATTATATTATTGTATATTTTGTAACAGCATAGTAACATCTGGAACGGTAGATTGGTGATTGAAAGAGTAATTTGAGCATCTGACTAAGTTGGAAAGGAAAAAAGTTAGTCTTTAAATTTTTTTCCTTTTTGTAAATATTGCTATTTTTCAATATAAATCTTGGTAAATATGTTTACAAATCAAAGGATGTTCAAGCAAAGGAAAATAATGAAGAGTTGACAATTTTACTTCTATAATTCCAGTGGCATCTATCGTTTCACAGCGTCTCATCAGCCTCTTTTAATTGCAACAACCAGGAAAGTTTAATATTATGTACACAATCTCTCAATTCTCAATCAGAGAAGCCTCATGTATCCATGAAATGGAGGTTCATAAGCTCGACTTGTACGAAAAACGAAGAAGAAGGAAAAAAAAAGGAAGAAGAAGAAGAAGAAATTAGACACAAACGTAATAATTTTGCATGTGATGCCCAGAAAAACAACTTTCTGTGCCTAAATGTATGGAAAATCTGTATATTTTCCTTCCCATGAAATACTAGTGTCAAACTTAGGATGTTATTTTCTAAGAAACAATTTTTATATTTTCCGTGACCACATTTCTTAATCATCTTTTTATCTCACATACATCAAATTATTACAATATATATATATTTAAAAAAACTTCAAAAAATAGCGATCCAAGTGGAAACTAAAAGCCAAGCTTTTTAATGTGGACAAATGAAGTTGAAGATCAATTGGGAGCATCCAATATTGCTATACTATCTGAAAAAAATTGTTACATCAAGTCAAACAAAGGAAGCTGCATTCTCTAATGATCGAGAATTAAGCAACATCCTTTGTATGTCAAGTACAAGACTAGAATTTAGAAACATGAGGGAAAAAAAAAGCATCTAATTTCTTTTCTTAATCCATGGCTAATAGACTAATGGTGATGGGCTTGATAATGACCCCCTACATAATATGACAAATTGGACCCAAGCTCACAATTATTGATACTACAATGATTCATCATCATATTAGTTTTTCACATTATGACAATGATGTTTGTTGCTTACACTATTCTCGTTTCGTCTTTTATCTTGTAAATTTCTACATTTGTTTAAGCCGTTCGATTTCTTACCCCCCAGCAAGTCTAGTTGCCCAACAATACCATCTAACAAGGCAAGCAACGCCAATGCCCTTAAAACTATTTCTTCTATGACATTAAAAGTTATTTTGGGGTGAAATAAAACTCTTATTGGGTATTTTAAATTTTTTCTTTTTTTTTTGTACATGTCAAGATTTTTAATTCGGGATGAATCTAAAAAAAAAAAAGAGCAAAAGTTCTTTCCCAAATTAAAAATTTTTGTCAGCAACTGTATTTATCTAACACAAATTATCTCTTATTGGAAATACTAAACAACGTATATTTAAACAACGTGGACATCATTTTGCCAGAGAGAGAGAGAGAGTGTGTGTGTGTGTGTGTTCAATTTTGGTTTTTTTTTTCCTCCTTTGTTTTTCTTTTCTTTATGAGAAACTAATAAAGAAGAGAAGACGAAGTGATCTTCAGCTCTGTATGGATTTTTTTCGCTTTCTGTTACATTTCTTTTTCCATGTCCTCTAAGCAGTTTTCTTTCACTTTCTGTTACATCTCTTTTTCCATGTCCTCTAAGAAAAAGCTGCTTCTTCTTCTTCAATATAATTAACGTCTTTTTGGGTCCAAGCAGGGGCAGCAAACTAGTAAAGTTTTCCAAGCCAATATATTTCTGTCTCCTTTGGTCACAGGGAGTGGTCCAATACCGACCTCATGAACAAATAAAATGGCCAATTTGGGACTTGTAAGGCAAGATTAGCGGCTGTCATGACAATGATCCTCAACAATGAAAGCTTTAAGACCCCTTTTTTATTTTTTAATAATCTGTGCGAATTATTATTTCTCATGAATCCAAATTTGTGATCTTCTTCATTTATTATTTTTTTTTTTTTTTTGCATTCTTTGAAGAATAATACATAACTCCAAACACTGTAAACAGTTATATATAGAGCCTTAATATATAAACCAAAAGACAAAATCACCTAACAATTGCAAATTTTTCCTGGCAGGTATATGAGGTATGCCACTTTCAAAATTGTTATATTTTTTTCATTATTTGTTGTTTAATTTCTGTCATTAATCACATTATCTTGTTGATCACATAATTAATACGTTAATCTACTCTATCAATGTGGTAAAAATTAACTATGTGTAAAAGTGTTTCTTTTGTCAGCCTTTCATTTCCCATTTGGTGAATCCACCAAATCCCCAAAAGACCATTTCATCGCTCTATGATTTTTCCCTTATCTTTCTATGCCTAGTTTACAAAAATAAATGACCGGAAAAACATAGCTATACATATTCTACCTATAGTTTAGCCTGAAAAAGAACCCAAAAAAGGGAAAAAAAACTATTTCAAAGGTCCAAAGCAATAATTTGCGGTTGATTTATATGATCATATTTCCAAATGGAAGCTAAGAAAAGCTCAATTCTGTTTTCCTGAATACCGGCAAGTCATATGACTTTTCTATCAATAGAAATAAGGTCTCCAGCTCATAAATGATATCAATTTCAAAGGAAATTAAATGTTGACCGATGGATTGGTAGAGTAATTTTGTAACAAATTGGCAAAAATAAAAAGAATCCACGCAATCTTTCCTTTTCTAAACATTTAATTCTTTTTACTAAATGCATTTTCAAGTCCTTCGATTGAAAGTTCAAACCAATTTCATTTTCACGACTGTACCCAATTTCCCAGCAGCTCCTAGGAAGCTGCCTCCACTGCTTCTGTGGTACTAATTTCCTGACTCAGTCAGGCCCATCAATTTATACCAAAATTAATATTCATGCAAATAGAAAAAAAATAAAAAAAAAGGGCTAGAAAAACAATTTTTTTATCCAACAAAAAAGAAAAGAAAAGAAAAACTAATATCACTACTGTTCTGAGATTCAAACGTTAATATACAAGCAACAGCCTTATCTGGAAAAAACAGGCTCTTCTGTGATTGTATCCAACAAAGGTTTCCTTGATTTGCACGATGCTAATCTAAATCTATATTCCATATCCTTAAACCCTTCAATCTCCTCCAAATTCAACCTCGACCGCCCAACTTCTTGATCATCATCTCTTGTCACCGCGGCGGCCGCCACCTCAGGTTCAACTTTGCCACCGGCTATCCGCCTCGCAGCAGTGTTCGCCGCCATCAAAACCACCGCCATATCAGCTGCAGTGACGATGGAATTCACGCGTTTCATCTGAAACATGATATAAACGTTGCCAAACTCCAAATCTTCATCGGCAGAAAGGGCGGAAAATCTTTTTCCAATGTTCAAGGACTTAGAGTTCACCAAGAAGTAGTTTGGACATTCTAGCATGAGTTCTGCTGCCTTCACCAGTTGCCGGAACTGCCGTACTTCACCGCCTGGGAGAATAACCCTGGCGGCCCTGGTGGTTTTCATCAACGGAGTCGGAAGAGTGCTGCATGACATCAAGTTTCCCATGATGGAAGGGGGGAGAGAGAGAGAGAGAGAGAAAGGTGTTTGAAGTGCTGTTTAGTGCGTGTCTATGTGTGAACCGGTGGAATTGCTTTGCTATTTAAAGAGCACAACTATTGCGCGTGGAGGCTATAATTTACTACTAATAATTATGTGTGGGTTGGAGTAACACAAATATCAATTTTCAAATTAAGCAATTAATAGTCTAGAAATCCAATTATAGGAAATTTTTTGACTTTCCTTCTTCTTTCTTTTTTTTAAATTTCCAAAACCTATTCCCTCAATTTGGAGAATCGTTTATTGTTTATTAATTTTTTTGTGGGGAGGGGGGGGGGGGGAGGGATAAATGGCAATGTGAATTTAAAAAAGTGGTTCAAGATTTTTTAAAAAGAAAATCAGATAGCAACCTTATCCAAATACAGTTAGTAGAGTATATGTTAGGCTCAAGAGAATATAAGCAAATCACACGCACTAAAACTTTCATTTAAGGTGGGAAATGGAAAATTAATTCATTTCAATAAGATAAAACTATATATATAAGCAATAATATCCACAAATTACATCCTATTGATTAGGATAAGATATTTTTTTGCTTGTGATAAGATTTTAAAGAAATTTAAAATGTAACAACGATATGTCCTACAAAAGTTCAATGTGAAATGATGAGGAAATTGTATAGAAATGACTCATCCTAGGGATGTTTGAGCTTGAACCCGGATGACAAGGACATATAATTATAGTTAAGGGATCCTTAATAGGAGTTAGGATCTAGCCACCCTAGTACTAGAAATAGCTAAGGGCAACAAATTCGATTACTATTTGGCAAGGACAGAGCTCTAACGCAGAAGTCCAGAACAGAGACTTTTGCGGCTGGGTTTGACTAGGGTGTCCGCGTTGGGGGCGAAATTTGTGGAAAAGATGAAGGAAAGTTATAGGAATTAGTTTCGTAGTTTTGAGTCATTGGTGTCACGAGTCCTTTGGCATTGATGCGTGTGGGGACTGCGACCCCGTGGGAAAATATGGAACTTTGGCTTTGTGAACCGAATCCGAATGCTCAGTCTTTGGAAGCTAGTACTCAAGTTTAGAACCAGAACTGTCTATCAACTATGATCTAATTTCTTTACCTAGCAAAACAAACAAACAAACAAACAAACATCTTGGTTTGGTTTATTCTTTTGTTTTCTTTATGTGTTTCCTTGAGAATAACCAATTTATCTGCAGATTTTTGTGGTGTACAATGTGCAAGCTTGATGTATTATTATTGGGCTCAGAGGGGATTACTCTTTGCCAGCTTTTAATTTACATGATATGCTCTCAAAGTTTTGAGGATTGTTGGTTAGAAATTACTAGTATTTAAGATATATGGATTAATTTTTGTTATACATTATCACTTTATAGGTAAAAGTTATTTCTAGTGTAATAAAACATGAGTATACTAAGGAAGCTAGTTAAGTTTAGTACATGTCTATTGTGATTATTTACATCATTTCACGCATACGGGCTCAGGTATAAGTTAAATATACTAAAAAGTACTAATCAGACACGCCCGTTAATAAAATTCTTTTTTTTTTTAAGGAAGAGAAAATATGGTAGATTATGAGATAATATTTTGCAACCTAACCGCTTTTGAAAATTGAAACACTACCAAATCATCCCTATGGCCTGCCTAATCTGCGGATTACTTTTGTGTTGCGGTCGAAATTGCAAGTAACTTTTCTTTTTATTAGTGCAGTAGATTAAAAAACATTGAGAGTGTCAACTTCGTGGTATTGCTTTCCAACAGCCACCCATGCGATTGCCCTTTTAAATTCTTGGCCACCTAGACTTTCCACGCGATTTAGTGGTCCTTTAGGCTGCGGAAAATGATTTTCCATCAAATCATTTCTTGACAACTTACAAGGTAACTGCAAATCATGCATTATTGAAGGCTTATGTGGTCAGGCTATGATTACTTTCATTTGACTTAAGCGTTATGTTTAGTTCTTGCTGTTGATACAATTTTAGCTTTGCTGTCACGTTCTAGTTCAACAAGGGAGATAATTCACTAACCTTTCGGCACAGCTTCATTTTCCCATGGCCTAGTTTTGATGTATGATGGGGTAGGGCAAGAACCAAAGTTTCAGCTTTACTCTTTTGCCTGGAGCATTAGGAACTCTAGTTACATAAGTGGTCACTCTTTAAAATATATATATATATATATATTCAAAAAATTGTAAGACAGGTTGAAAAGCAAAATTATCAAACCACAAAATCCTGCATGCCCTTGCATTTTTTTTTTTTTCACAATATCAAGAAAATGCAGTGCAGTTGCATATGTGAAACTTCGGGAGTTAATCCGCTATCAAAGGCGTGGTTGCCGTCACTGTTTTGATTGAATTAATAAGGGGCGTTCCCTAACTGAGTAAATTAAGATTAAACATCATTTAATGTTCAACAGTGATTTGGACCAACCAACTTCTAGTGATTTTCTAATTAGTAGCGTCTACGGCATCTCAATTTAAAAGTCAAGGGGAATTTACTTCGCGATCTACAAGTAATACACTGGATTCCATAAAAAAACCGACAAGAGGAAAAACACGGAGAGAGAGAGAGGGTATAATTGCTTTGTTGGTATGCTTATTTCACCTTTTAATTTATCATTTGAATATACACTCACCCCATTTATTGAGACACTCGTAAGGTTTAAATTTACTTCATTGTGGGGGAAAAAAAAACTAAAGGTGTGTTTAATAAAATTGAAATATAAAAATATGAATTTTGAAATCTGAATCTATTTAAGTTATTGATTTTTTAAAAAATTTTTTATTGAAGTTACTGAATTGTTATTTAAGCGCATTCTGCATTAAGTGATAAATAATTTATTTATCACTTATTTTTTTTAGAGTAAGTTTTGTCTGAGCAATTCAAATTCACTTAATTGATTAAAATGTTCTATTTTTCATCACGAAACACGTTTGAACATGATAAGATCTTAATTCTTTAAATTTAATTTAACTGCTGAATTGAATTATCCAACAGGCCTAACAGGACATGTAAAACTTATGTTAACGAGATTTTTTTTTTACTAAACACCTATTGGATAAACCTACACAATAGATCATTACAGATTTCTAAGCCAGATAAGAGGAGAAAAGAAAAAGTGAAAGCCGACATCTACTTAAGATTCCTTGAATGCAGAAGAAAAAATGGTATCAGGATTAATTATCCACTTGGGGATTCCGTACTACACTGATGATCATCTTGCTGTCACCAAACTCCGTGTTAATATGTCGACTGATTCACACAATTCTTTGGAGAAATTGACTCCATCCTAGTAAACAATTGCAATAAGACTGTATATGCAGGATACGTTTATCAAGTCAACCAATTGACTAGTATCAGTTTATCATAATTAGCTAGCCAACCGACGGCTTTTGAAGAGATCCCCATGTGGGATTAAAAGTTCATTAGCCTTTTATTTATTTATTTTTTTTTAGTTTTATGTTAAGAGCTGATATATTATGAATTAATTAACAAGGACCAGATGACGGCCTTGTCGGTTTGTAGATTGCAGTTCCAATTACCCACAATTTAAGATTCATTTCTTACTTTTTTTTTTCAATTTATTTATTCAAAACTCGAAGATTCAAAACAATCAAGATTGCATAAAATTATGCGATTGAATATTGACCTAACATTTTTTTCTTCTTCTTCTTTTCTTTGTTATTTATTCTTTACGTTGTAGCTTGTATGTTCTAGAAAAGGCAAATTAAAAATAAACAGGACACAATTAGAACGTGTTCTTAGGACATTTTGACAACTTGTTATTTATCACCTTGTAATCTTGTGATCTTAGGAGCTTCAGACTAGATAATATGCATTGGTAGGTAAGGGTCCATGCCCCTTTTTGTTAAACAATTGAAGATATAAGTATAGTTCATATAACAAAAAAAAATAGTTTTTATGCCTAAACAAATCCTTCTAGAAAATACGTACTCAGTCACAAATATAAATTGATCTCAACATCAAGAAGGTAGTTCTGAAATAGTCACATGAACAGAAATTATCCAAACATGAATTTAGGTAATAGTCTACGGTTTGCAAAATAAATCCATAAATTGCGCAATTCCGGTTGTAAGCCAAATCTGTACGTAAAAGAACGCTTCAACTCATATAGAAGTAAACTGAGTCAAGATGAATGCTCGATCAAATTTATAAACATCTAAGTGACCTTAAATCCTATGATCTTTAGACACAAATCTTATTTTGTAAGAGCTTAAAGAGTTGTGTACGTATAGATCACAGTTCCCTCAACCAAAAAAAATAAAATTGTTGGTGAATATAAGTTAAAAGAAGAACGAAAGAAAGAAAGAAATTGTGTTGTTCACCTAGATTATACTAAGTGGAATCCTACTCTCCATGTAGAGATCATAGGAAATAACTTCAAATATGAATTTATGCATCTCATCGAGTTTCACATATAAATTCTAACAGCAACATGTTGGAAGAGAAATATATGAAATGAGAATGATCAACAGGTCCATGAGTAGATAAGGATTGATGCAGCAGTTCTTCTCCAAAATTTGAAGAAGAGGACTGCATCTGCTTATCAGTTATCAATATTTGCAAGGATTAAAAGTCTCTTTTAGGGGTTCCTAACAAGAGTTTTCCCTTTTTTAGGATTTTCTAACTAGAGTTTCATTTTTATTAGATTGTTCTAATGAGAATTCTTTTCTCTCTTAAAATTTTCTTGTGAGGAGTTTTCTTTATTTTTAGTTATTTATCTTGTTAGATCTGCAATTTCTTAGATGTGTTTTTGGAGACCTAGAAATTCTCAAATTTATTCTGTTGGATTTTTTTTCTTTTAGTTTGAAAGAGTTTTACATTGGATTTGACAATTGAAGATATGCACAAATTTGGGCTCCAAGATATTCGTCCGATGTTGATAGATTTTTGGATCTTCATAGTACTATTTTACTTTTTTAAATTTCCAAATTTGTTGCGTCCGTCAATTTTCAAATTGTTTTTATCTATTGTATGTTCGATGTATTGTCCGTCGTTAGTACAGATTTATGGAATAAAATTATTTTGTTTATCAAAAAGAAATAAATGATCT